TCATCATTGCAATACCTGTGTGCTTCCTATAGTGACCAGGGCAATAGGACTAATGCAAACTGTGTATTTGTTCTCCTGTCTTTCTTTTGGGGTTGTTTAAAAAACCCAACATATCCCATTGACATTTCTACCTGCAGAATGAGAAGTAAAAGAAATATATCCTGTGTGCAGGACTAGAGAGGGGGACATGTCAGGGAACGTGTCAGGGAAAGGTCTGGGAGAGATCTGGAGGGAGGTCAGCCGTTCATCTCCAGCCAAGTCCTCAGCGGATTCCGCTCCCGCACAGAAGAACGTCCCTGTTCCTGTGAGGATCCTATGGTGCCAGATGAACGCAGTCGCTAAACTAACAGACTTGAGACAAGTTTCTACATCAGGCATGTTTTTATACTTCAGCAATAATGATGAGTTTTCAAACTGTGTATATGTATATCTTTGGGCATCCTTGTGTATGTGTGTATACATATGTATTATGTACACAAACATATAAATATACACAAATCTGTCATGCTCCAGCTGTAGATAAATGTACTATAAAATATTGAAATTGATGCTGAAATTCAACACAAACAAATTCCTCAATCTGCAAACAAGGTTTTTATTTACATCAAGAGAATAATTTTTTCCCTACTTCAAATGAAAAAATGGTCTTACAAGCTTTTATTTTTCCTTATTTTCAACTTAGAAACAGCTCTCAGATAATTGTAAATGCTTCTGCTTGATGTGCTTTATATTTTACCATAATAAAGGTGATGACTATATCATTCTGCTTTTTAGAAATGGTTGCTGGCCATACACGACGTTTGTTCATTGACAATTTCCCAAGTATTTTTAATATGAAGATCTACTTTTCATATGCTGCAGCAGACCTGCCTATTGAATTAAATGATCTGTGAATTAAAAATAATTCTCTTAGGTCTTCACTGAAACCACTCATGTGCCTAAAATTAAGCATATGCTTAAGTGCCTTGCTGGATCAGGGCCAGGATGCTTACTACTCCGCAGAGCCCTTCGTAGGGAAGCCAGTCTTTGCTATATAACTTCTCATACTGTGCTCATCATGGCAGTATCTGAGCAACTTCCAGAAGCGCATTCAGCAACGCTACGAACATCTGCCACGTGTTGTTTTCTCACGGTGCACCATACTGGCTCTGCTCTGGTGTCCACTTCCACCTGCATTTCCCAGGCAGGTTCTGATTGCGCTAAAAGTGAAGGTGAAATTTAAATATGGAAGTAAAAAACAAATCACAGCTACGGTAGGACATTTGGCAGATTTTTTAAGGAAAGAGCTCTTTGTAATCATCCAATAAAAACATGATTGTCACACGGCTGTGTTACCTCAACCTAGTAAACACAGGTAAAACCAGCAATGGAAGATGCCGTAGAATGTTTTTAAATACATTCAGGGTGCCGCAGGGCATGACAAAAGTTGAGTAAGTTAGCTTGGCCCTGCTAACTTCATTACTCTTATTTTGCTGTGTATACCTGAAATGTCTACTTAACTTCTGCAGGACATTTATGCGTGTACATGCAATAGTAATCATTAAACAACAGCACGCAATGAGAGTGATTAGATTTTCATCCTTCAATACTGAAAATAAACATTTCACAAATGAAAGGTGAATTTCACAATTCTCCAATTTGTTATTTACTTATAAACATTAGGAAATCAGGGACTCATTTTGCCAATCATTAATAATATCTTGATACCCATAAAAGCAATGCCCTTGGCTTAGAGTTCTATCTTGAACTCAATTCGATGCACAGTTGGTCCACGAATTCACAGTTCAGTAGAACTCCATGAAAGTTTAAAAGTTTGCCTGGATGGTTCAGATTGCAAAATCCAGGCCTAAGACTGTAGCTTTTGCTGAGCTGTGATAACAGTGCAAAAGAAAATGAGAGAAACAGGACAAAGAAGGTAGACATGTAAAAGAAGAATGACTGGGAAATAGCCGGACTGACAAAATATGTGAAATAAACCTTTTGCACCTATTAACAGGGGTCAAAATGCAAAAATATATCAATTTGGCTCTTCCACTTAATTCTGAATGAGAAAAAAATAGGTAAAGTCAAGCAATTACATATGCAGCTGTTAGCATTAACGAGCTCCTTTACTGAAAAGATGATTAAACATCTTGAAAGCTTGCAAGATTTACTTTTCATGCAGCACTTTACTGAAATAACGTGCACTGTGATACTTTTGCTAAATATCCCAAAGATAGAACATTGAAATTGTTGTATATGATCTGGTTATCTCTGCAGCTTTGCGCGACAGTCACATTTTGGTAGTAAAGCAGGTGTTCAAAATGAAGATGAGAGAATTTTTACTCATTTTATAAAAAACTAACGGAGCTCATTCACTGAAATTCTGGGTATAAATTAAGACACCTGGCTAGCCAAGGCAGGCCCTGACTCAGCAAAGCAGTTAAGAGCATGTGCTTAATTTTAATCACATGCCTGACTAAAGCACATGCTTATTTGCCCTGCCAAATAATGATGGGCTGACAAAGTTAAGCAGGTATTTAAATATATTGTTGAATGATTGCCTTCAACTCAAGACTAGGTTCTGGTAGGAGTTAGTTCCCTATTCAGCTCATGAGGATGATCATTTTTCCCCCAAGGGGGAAAAACCCCGGGTTCATAAGACCAAACTGAATAAAGCAGATCAGGATACTAACTGATAAATAATATGCCATTATCCAGTCACATGTTTGGTATAGCGTATAAATGCGATGCAACACTATTGTAACAAGTACCACATGAAAAATGTTTTTCCATAGCTTGATGACTGCTTTAACAGGGGAGAAAATTCATAATGCAATTTACGTATTATTCTTTTCAATCCCAGTAAAGAAGCCAGAAGAAAAGGCTTGAATTGCTGGAGCCTTATTCTGATCTCAAAGAAGTTTTAAACAAGTCTTTCTACGCTGATCAAATAGAGTTTCACCTAATTTTCCCCTAATTTACACTGGCAGAGGAGAAATCAGGATTAGGACTTGTTGTCTAATGCTATTTGTTTTGAATTATTAAGCAAACATTCCTATTTCAATGAGTAAATGTGTACAAAGGCAACTAACCTTCGTCCTAAAATCTAGTTTACAGGGACAGTATTGTCTGCTTTCCCAATTAATGCTGTAAAAAGGAGTCTCAGACGTTGAGCTACCAATCAAAAGCTTGTGTTGTAGCTTGAGAAAATCATGACTGATGCAATTACTTTTATGTAGAAAGTCTGAATATGGTCTATAGGTTAAAGTTCATCGGGTTATTGTTCCTTAATTGAATATCAGAAGATGTTTTCAAGGTGCTCAAGGTATTACTGTTATTTAATTAGCAGGCTTCCTTGTGCAAACTAACAGTATTATTTTTATTATAAAATAGTTAGATTGCACCATAAATATACAAGGTATTTTCTAAACAGAGATACAGCTGGCTTCCTGAAATCCAAGCTTAAATAAAACTGGGAAAGAGTTACTCCTCTGAAGATGAAAAAGTCCAAATCCAACTACTTCTCTACCACTACAGTCCGAGTGACAATGTATTAAGCTTTGGAGAACAGCTTTTTCGGCGACTTTGATTCCTTTTCAGTGTTTTGAAGTTACACAAGTCCCCCAAACTAGCACCGAAACCATTTCTAAAGCCTTTTTCATGTTCAGCATCTCACTATACATAGGCATCTTAAAACCTTAAAATAGTGATAATCAATTAGGGTCTCAAGCCTATTATCTTAACCAAATGCCCGATTAAAAGAAAAGCCCTCTCTGCTCAAAATGCAACTTGATTCCTTTTGGTTTTATCCTCTATCTAGATAGTCCCATGTTTCACAAACGATG